TTAGTCCACGAAAATGTTCATAGACCCCAAACTTATGTGGGCTTCATTTAGTATTATCCATGATCCAGGGAGTAAAATCAACTATGCCTCTTCCCTCTCTTTCTACCATCCTATGTCAGCCCGCTTCTTGGATGGGAGTAGAAAGGAGGCAAAGAGAGGCATGAGGAAAGAGATGAAGGATGAATCACTTTCTCTTTATCATGCGGTCCATCCCCGAGGCAAAGAGAAGAACACCGCGCTGAAAATTCACGTATTGTGGCATGAAGTGGCCCATCCCAAATCGGATAATGGGCGCATCTTGCTCTCGCAGGGCTGAAGTTGGAATGTTCAAGAGACACCAAGCCATGATGCTCCCCGTTTTCACCCTGCAATTGGTTTGCTCACCAAACCTGAATTGATTTGGACGCTAGGCCGGGAACAACACACCTTCACAAGCAAAGCGCAGCGAGGCGCCCGCGGCTTCCACCTCCCACTTGAACCAAATTGGAAGCACAGAAGCACGGCGCTGCAAAGATTGGGAGCGGACGTCGAACTTTTGAAAGCTTGGACACATCAAAAACACGATTTCGAAGAATTCTTGCTCCGAGCAGTCAACATTTCGCCAATTCAACTTGCAAGCTTCCCCCTGCCAGGTGAAGACGCAGAGAAGAACAAGGCCAGGACCGGCGGGCAGAACTGGGTACGTGACATTTTGATCGCATCTTTTGGGCCTGCGGCCTCTAGCCGGCTACGCCTCTTTGAAGTTATGCTATGTCATGTCATTTCTTTGTTTTAATGAGAAACGTATCCTGTGCTATGATATGGCTGGTTGCCCACTCCAGCCCCAGATGATGCCGGGGATGCCAGCTTTCTGGGGCCCAGCCGGGCATCAACCCAGAAGGTTCACATGGGGTCGCGCGCGCGTCAGAGGCCCCAGAACGAGCAGCCCAAAAAGAACAGCCCGCAAGCCCGCCCGGAAACGCAAACGCAACAAAACACCGCAAATAGCAGCGTTTTGTGGCTGGGAACGTGCGCTCGCGCGCCAGAAGGCCCGAAAACCAACAGGAAAAAAGCAAGGACCGCGCAGCACACGAGCCAGCCACAACACAAGCAAAGCGGACAGAACAACAGCCCAACGGTCAGCATAGCAGTTTTTGACGGTATTTGCCAAACAATAGCATGTGTTGTGTACCTAAGATAGCACAAGGTGTATTCCAAACAATCAGATGATGAGAAGTATAAGATATCAGATGTTTTGCTCAACCTTCATAGACCATCACTTGTGAATAGAGAGTGGGTGATGAGATTATAATCTGCAGACGTTCTAATGCATAATCCTCAACACAAGTCCAACCTCTGCAGATAAGCATGCTCATACGGCGTTTTGTACAGCAAGGACCCAGCATCGCCGGCATGCCCGGCAGCGCTTGGCGCCAAAATGCGCGAAAATGAGCCTTGCTTATATCCCTTCGAACAATACAGTGCTTCATGGGTTGAGAGGCTTTTTGGAAGGAAGTCTCGATGATGCAGACCAAGCCCTGCTGAAGCATGCCAGCCACACGCCTAAACCTTGCAACGCGATGTTTTGCAAGGGTTTCCCACAGGCAGGCCAAACCGCAAGCCCCAGCTGGTGATGCAGAGGTGCCGGATTTAGGCAACGCATCACAACCAAGTGATGAGGGTCGGCGGCACCAGGGTGCAGCCCCATAGCTAAAGCAATTGCCTAGCGACGACATGCTACCCCAGGAGGCGTAGCTGGATTCACCAGGCCTCCGCCGGCTGCCGCCGACCCTCAGCCAAAGCGTTGCGTTAGCGGAAAGCTCGAAAATGCGAGCTCGTCCAGTAATCGGTGTGCGCGTTGGTCGTGGGATCAAGGAATCCAAAGCTACACTTCACAGGGCCGGTCCTGGAAATCTACTTTTGTTCAGTTTCGAGTGGGAAAATTGTTAGGATTCCAATCGCTTCATTCCAAGTTGCATCCCACGCCGGTTTTCCCTGCAGCAGACTAGGACGGGAGGCAGAGGCTCGGCGGACTACTTTTGGGTCCTGGTGGTTGTCTCCCTGTAAGCCATTTAATTGATCAAAGGAACAAGCACTTTCCAGATCCCTGTTTTCCCGGTGGGTTTGTCCAGGGCCTGCTCGTGGGGCTTGCACCGCCTCTTTGCTTCCAAGGTTGCGCCAAAGGATGCTCCCAATATACAATGAAATCTAGAGAGCCTGCTGATAAGTCAGGAAAAGGGGCTCGCCCAATCTCGCGTTCTGTCAGCACAATCAAGGGCCAACATGGGCTAACCCCCCTCCCACAGCCATTTTCCCATGTCCGGCGCCTGAAGAATGATTGCCCGTTCAACTCCCCCCGCGGGCTCACTAGGGTAAGACGAGCTCATGTGCTCAGGCTGATCTGTAGAAGCCGCAAATGTTTGGCTTGAAAGGCAATTTGTCATGACCAGCGTTCAGGTTTGTGGGAGATTGGATTTGTCAAGCACTCTGCTTCCAAGGAACCTTTGCCCCACCCCCCCCCCCCTCGCCCCCAAGTGAAGAGACACAAAGGGGTCGATAGAACAAAGCAGGTAAGGCAAGTCGGCAAAACAGATCCATAAGCTTCGGGAAAAGGATTGGCTCTGAGAGTTGGGCGCAGGGGTCCTTGTCTCGATATTTGAGCTGGCGGCCCTGGCTCCCGGATTGGTGAAGAGCATTGGGTTGTAAGATCCGGTTTTTCCTCCTTGGTTCTGCGTCAGTCCCTGTCAATATCCTGGAGGGTGGGCTTGTCTCGAAATTGGGAGCCCGCCCTCAAAATTGGTGTCCCGTTTGCTTAACAAAAGGATGCACCCTGGGTAGATCCGTATCAAGTGAAGCCTTTGCCAACCCTTGTGCGGAGAGCTAGCTGACGTTCGGTCAACATCTCCTGATTTTTCGACGGTCCAATTGAAGAGGGACATGGGACTCATTCAATTTCTGTTTTTTGACCTTGGCTCAGATGGACTTTATGGCCTCGCTCGCCTCACAGAGCACGCAGCCGGGGCCCTGTGGCTTTCGCTGCTGGAATGTATGTTTGATTGTCACCATTCAGGAAAGAGGGGCCCTAGCCGGAACCGAACTGTGATGGCCCAACTGGCTAAACATGATGCATATAGAAGCGCAAGATGACTGGTTTCCTAGTGGCTTCCATTTTAACACCAACCAGCATGGGGTTCTGTATTCTGAGACATGCCCCTTTGTGTCACTCATACCAATGGACCCTGAGAGTGACAAAGTAGCCGTCGGCTCGCCAAGGTTGAGCTCTGCGCGGCCAGGGGCGGAGCCGGCGATTTGCTGTGATGTTCTGTTTCCGCTTGGTCTTGTTTGCGATGCTGGACTGAATCGAATTGGCTTGAGGCTTGAGGATTCGGATTCCCGTGAAATCGGGAAGGTTGCTGCTTCCATTCATCGTAGAAGCAAACCATCCAAAGACCCACCCTGAACAAATGGGGTGGGGTCTTTGAACATATCACGTGTCTTGCATTCTGTTGGCACGGAAATGTCGCTGGGCTGCTTTTGGCCCATTCAACTTCCGTGCCTAAGCCTTCAGCACGCAGCATGTTTTATCGGTTCACTTAGCCCTGGGGGTGCCACTGTGCAGAAGCTGATTCCTACCCTCAGTTCCTGGTTGCATTGTTCTGTTGGCAGGTTGCCAGGTTGCTGGCTGGCTGGCTGGCTGGCTGGCTGGCTGGCTGGCTGGTTGGTTGGTTGGTTGCTTGGTTGGTTGGTTGGTTGGTTGGTTTCATTGTTGCGAAGCGTTACTTATGCCATGTTTTGTTCCCTCCCCCCTGCCCCCCCCATTTCTTGAGGAAACCGGGAGGTCCCACTACGGCTCTCCAAATGGGGTCCACCCTGTGGGAGCACAAGCCGGCAAATTCAGCCCAGCAAGGATTTTAATGAGTTGGTCAAGGCACATTTTGTGGTGTTGTCAATTCAGTTTCAAAACGCGAAATTCAACTTCCAATTTAGAATTGAAAGAGATTCTTCGTGTATGTTGGTCCGTGCCACTGATTGACAATGCGATTTGCCTCCGAGGCTGCCATCTTCATTTATTTTGACTCAAGTACATGGACCACCCATCAGTGCACCGCTTCTGAATCCCTCAGTTGCAACGCCCAAACCCCCCATTGGCCACTTTCGTATCAGGTTATATTCCCTGGTAAGAATATAATATGGTCTATACATGTTCCAGGATTTGTATGTATGCATAGATCATGGCAGAGCCAAAACACACTGACAGTTGAGAGCTCCTGGCTTCCCTCGCCGCCAGAGTCGTCAAAGCACCGCTGCATCCAAGAGCCGTTACGTCGAGAAGAGGCGCCGGCAATGGTTGTTGGTGTTTCATACCCCCAGCTTCCCCAACCTCCCCTCCGGGTTTGGATTCTATGAGTGTTGAGGCTTCCCTTGTAGGTCTGGGGCGTGTTGGTTTCTTCTGACGCGAGCCAAAGAGCTTCAACTTGTGTAATGTTGACCCCGCCAAATCAATGAGCCTGGCAGATGAGCAAGGCCAACGTGTTTTTTGAGCTGGTGCCCTGCACACCCATAGAATTGCTTGGTCAAGGGTGCCAGTGCGAAGTTATTTTGCTGTTGCCATTTTGCAAGTTTGATGTCTTGGCTTTTCTCGACGCACTCGGCTTCAGAATTCCGAACTCGGGGACATATAGAACATGTTGCAGACGCTTGAGCACAGCATAGGTATGCCATTTGGCCCAACATGTCTGCGCCAATGAGCTCACACAAAAACGGCACGCTCGATTTTGGAGCCTAATTTTGCTTCACACAAAAGAAAGAGGCAGCGTTGCCCAAGAATCAGTGGACCTTGGTAGTTAGGGCATGAGAATGGGCCGTTTGTTATTTGGTATAGGCCGGAACCTTGGCTCCTACGCCTCTCGTTGAAGGACCCATCAAAAAAAGAACAGGCCAGATCCGGGTTGATGAAACATGAATGAAGACTAAAACAGTGCAAAACCTTCAAATTTTGCACCTACTGTGCTTCCTTTTCATGGAGAAAGGAACCCACTTCTGGGTTTCTGAGTCCGTACCGTTGGGAGCTCAATCGGATCGGGCGCCATGGTGTCCGGCGGCGTGCTGCCAACAGCGACCGCTCACAGCTCAGCTTTTGGGCGTCGGGGGAGCGGAGGGGGCTTCGAGTTATTGCTACATGCTATTGTCAGATTTCTAAGGCCGCCTAGGAAATAGAGTCCGAACATAATATGATTGTTGGGTGGTAGGGCCAAGAATCACACGAGCAACGGACAATATTAGAGGGGTATCGGCTTTGCAGATTGACGGGTAATTATCGGTTTTGGGTAGTCCACTGTAAGAAGACTGTTTCCTATGATCAAATATTTTCCCCTTTGAGCCACTGCCTGATCTTCGGAGGGTTTGAGTTAGTGAGCCCCTGTCCTGGGTATCGTGCGGAGGTCATTGGCTGCTGGATGTCGGGGCCGGTGCTGCTGGTTCTTTGGTCGATCATCTTCGCGCTTAGGCCTGGGTCGGCCAAGCGAGCGGGGGGGGGGGGAGTTTGGAGTTGTCATGGGTGTTTGCCAAACTCCCGGGGTGTCTTTTTAGGCCACCTTATTACTTGAAACCATGAATGTTTCGGCTCTCCCCCAGCCAAAGTTGCGGATTATTTTTACGCATGCCAATGCGGAACTCTCTCCACCAAGCGTGGGAGTTCCTGGTTGCAAATTCCTTCTGAAGACTTGCAATGTTCAACCGTACTGGGTCGTCCCCCGAGAGCATTGTGCATTCTGCCAATCCATGTCAAGGAGAGCGGAGCCTGAGCAAAAAAGTCAAGGTGAGTAGCCAGCAACACGGGTGATCAAGGGTGAAACACTTTTTGATATTCTGGGCCGCGCCTCCAACCATAACAAGGGCTGCAAACACCTTCATTGCTCGAATACAATGTTAGTGGCTCTTTGCAACACGAGTCTCTCCACTATAACAAGTGGACGGGGTGCGACCCAGCTCATATCGCCAATGTTTCAAAAGGCTCGCTATTGTCCAGGTCCTCTGGATGCGTCCGCCTGCCTTGCCAGGATCGTCTATATGATGCTTGCATCGGTCAGGGTCGAGAACTGGACCCTCCATGGGATAGTAAGTATAGATAGTTGGCTAGCCTTGCTAGCCATCTTACCTGCTTATTGCATAGCAAGCTCACCGGTTCAGAGGGAAAACTAGCTCACCATGCAGATCGTTTACTTGTTTCGGACTATGGTGCGCGTGTGCTGCCCGGCCGAAGCAGATGTGGCCTGCCCACATTGCAATGGGGTGACCGGCTGCCGGGCAAAGCCCTGAGCCAGCTGCATGGCCCGGCAGCCTTTGACAGTCGCTTGCAGCAGGGTCATCCTGCCGATGGCAACAGCGCAGCCGGCGCAGCAAGTCCTCCACCGGAACTGCGTGGCTCACTGCGCCACAGCGGAGTGGGAGCCAAAGCGAAGGCCAGCCGCAGGCGCTGAGAGGTCTCGGGGCCTCACGCCGCAGGTCTCGGGGCTGACGGCCAGCGCCCAGAGAGAAGCCGCAACAGCCGCAGTCTCGCCAGCGCGCACCCGCCACCGCAGGATCCAAAACCTTCCACGGACGGCGGTCGGGCCACAGGAGCCGGCGCTTCTCCTTTTTCAGTGCCCGCGCCGGCGCGTGCTGTTTTCATACGTACAGCTTTGCAGCAGCTTTGCCTTCAACTCCTGGCGCTCTCGTTTTGAAGCATGGACTTGATATAGGGGGGTCAACATCCTTCAAGGGGCGGTCCTTTTTATACCTTTCCCCTGGTCCCCCAGGGGCCAACGAAGCTATATAAAGAAACACCAGAGGGTTGAGCTGAGCCTCATGATTTTCAGGTTGGGGTCGATTTTCAGGTTGGGGTCGGGATTCTACAGTGTGAGTTGGGATTCAGCTGTCGGCCTGCCCTGCCAGCTTGGACTGGTTCTGCCTCCTGGTCATCCCCCTATACCTCATGCCGCTTGGCTGGCAAGTTGGCTTTCGAATACTTCATGAGCTTTGGATTTGGGCTCAATGAAATCAGCAATTCGTCACTCAACCTCAGCCCATGATTCCCGACCCATTCGCTGCAACCATGTTGAATTAGTATTGACTGGCCAGAACTTGCCAAGTTCGAAGCGAAGCAACCGCTTCACATTGGAGGTCCCCGGTTTGGACCATCGGGTAGTGTACGACGGCTCAGGATTCCATTACATAATCACACGCTGTCAGGTGCCTGTTTGTTTGTTTGTTTGTTTGTTTGTTTGTTTGTTTGTTTGTTTGTTTGCGTCGGATGTGGCGACAAGGTAGGGATTCACGACATGACCTCAAGACTTCGTGAATGGGTCTTATGTGTTGAATTGGACACAAGGGTTCCCGTACTTGTGCCCCTTTCCGTTTCATACACTGTCTCGAGCCGTAAAAAATATCAGCAACATTTCTGCAACCTCAAGTGGGGGGTGGCGGTGAACTCGCATTTGATGAAAGCCGCTCAAGGCTCAAGGTGTTGTTTGTTTTTTGTGGTTGGCAAAGTCAAAGTATGTTATGCCTAAAGCATGGTATATTGTGGGTGTGTTCGAACCTCGCACAATTCATGCCATCAAGTGACAAAGTGTCCAATGAAGATGGGTTTCCCGAAAGGGCCACAAGCACCACAATCTGCAGGAGTGCCGTATGCCAAGCACAAAGCATCGCCATGCCCCAGGAAGGACAGATGTTTAATCCTAGCAATCTCTGCTTCCGGGGAACCATTTGTTTTTACAGGGCGAGGGAATGCGGCTGCTGGTGAGACTTTCATTACACGATCCCTTCATATCGGGTTCTCAAGATGATGCGATACTTCCAATACCGTTGTGAAGTCTCTTGGTAAGAAGGCCTGTGTTCGTTTGTGGGGTTTCCCGGGCGGCTGAACTTGATTGAACACAATGCATGAGGCATGTTCGAACCCTCCCTTTTAGTGACGTTGTATTGGGAATGGTCGCAGTCCAAACCATATCAGGGCAGCCTGACCATGCCTTGTCTTTTGGCATTTTCCGCGTAGGGGCGCTTTGCCAGCGTACCCGAAAGCCCCGCAGCGCCCTTGCTGAGTGGCCATTTTATTGCCCACTTGTGCCGTGGCGCCGCTTTTCTTCTTTTGGCCTGGTGTCAAGATTGCCAACCTCCCGTTTTCGAAAGCGGCGGATTTCCGAAGGTTCACCCTCAAGTAAGCTGTTCGAGTCATGCCTTAAACTCAAATCCCCAGTTGTCCAGCGGATTCCCGGCCCTCTTTTCCTGTTTGTGCATGTTCATGAAAGTTAAAGCTGTCCCGAGACTGATTCCTGGTGCTGACAGCACAATGGATCCTTAAAACAATTCAACATGTGCATCCATTGCGTCGAACATTTGCGGTCCTGTGGGGATTGGTGCTCAGGATGTTCAAGCTTCCCGACAGAAAGCTGCGCATAGGCCGGCGCTCACGGGGGTAAACTCGGCTGGCTTCCCCACCTCTGCAAACCATTGCAGATGTCCTGAATCAAAGGCCCTTCAATCTGATGATGATTTTGGAATTTGTGTTTACTTGTGCCTATAGATCTTCTGTGTGGGTGATGACTCGCATCTCGGACTCAGACAAGGTTGATGGCTGTTTTAGCTCACTTGTCCAAAAGGGCATGGAATGGACATGAAGCGGATCCGCTATTTTGCTATTGTTTGTGCATCAAAGCAGTGACAGAGGGAACCACAAGAGGATAGATATCTGTGAGTCTTTTGGAGATCTTGATCCTCTAAGAGAAACCAGCTGAAGGAACCGTTTCGCGATATGGCCGCCACTTGCCGCAGCGTTGGTTTTCAGTTGTTTGGTGGGACTCTTTTTTGTGGGTTTCCCGCTAAGAATGGTCAGCCCTTTTTTTTCCCTGTCACTGGACAAAAGATGTTTTAGTAGATTTTGTTTCAGTTGTCGCTTCACCTGTGGCAGACTCCCAAGTCTGCGGACTCAGAAAAGCAACATGTTTGGGTAGTGTGGTTCCTTTGCTGGTTGCCAATCCACGGGTGATCCTAAAAGAAATCAGTTCAGGAGAATTTCACCCTGTTTCCCGTTTTATTTTGTAGGGTCCCTGGATCAAAAATAGAATCGACAAACTCAAAAGAACCCCACAACATATGTATATATGCATAAATCTACTTATATATACGTATATATATATATATACTCCAGTCAGTGGCTGCAGCAGGGAGTGTGGCAGCCCCTTTTTGAAGCTTGTCCCGATAATGTTCCTGATTAAGTAAGTAAGTAAGTAAGTGACTGAACATTTATTTTTGCAGTGTTCTCTCACTGGTTGCAACTGAGAAAATAACATTCCACCGTTGACAGGCTTTTGGATGGCAGTGATGGCATGGTGCTTCGTCGCGGATGGAAGCCTGGGCGCCCAGGGTATCTGGGTGCACATCCTAAGAACGCCCAATGTGCAGATAGGGTTTGCAGCGGTGCCAGGTGCCCCCTAACGTCCAAGCCGCCAAACCGTAGTGCGGGGAGGTGACTTTGATCGAACCTTTCCCGTTCCCGTATGTCGTATAACTTTGAGGGGCTGTGAGCAATTCGGGATTTATCCATCCTCGGTTCCATTCGCACGTTCAGGTGTTTTTCTCCCATTCAGCCAAAACCCACTGAAGCCAACCTCTTTTTCTTTAAATCGGACACCTCCCAACCAAAATCAACGGGTGGAATCAAAAGGGCCCCATTCTCATAGGATCCAACCCCCCCCCTGATTTGGATCAAGGGGGTTGGGCTTCCTATCGTCCAAGCCAAGCCACCGCTTGAAAACGGCTGCCCCCAATGGCAGTCAAATGGCCCCCAAATCAGCCCACAGGAAGTCGCTTAAGAAGATCTGGGGATATGTCTTGCTTCAGGGGTTGCATTTGTGGCAAACTTTGCGGAATTTAGTGTGCCAAGCCCGATCCTCTAGAACGAGCGGTGAAACAAATCATGGTGTACAATCATTGCACGTGTTTGCGGCTTGGTTCACTTTGTGAGTTCCCGGATTTTTTATCATCAGTATACTTCTTGGGAAGACCATTCCAGATGGATCCGCCGGGGATCGGATCGGTTTTGATTGGCTTGTGGGATTCTTGGAGGCTTTTTGCTTTTGGGGTGCCCTGAGGTGGCTTCCCAGGAGGAAGGATTCGGATTGGGCTAAATGCGAGCAATAATCAGTCAGGTTACCATCCGCCCCAGGGGTGCATAGTGCCCTACAGCACTTTCCCAAGTCCCGATTTCGGCAGAACCAACCGGCAAACTCCGAAGCTCGTCTCACTCGGGGAGGTCCCCTCAGTGAGGCTTGCGGAAGATCTTCGCCTCCATGGTGGCCATCTTCGCGTGCCCGGTGATCCTGGACTTCCGCTTGCCCTCCTGGCCTGAGCCGAAGCCTCTGGCGAGTAAGACGCCCCGTTCGGGTGAACTGTGAAAGGGGGACAGTTGATCCCTTTCATTGTTTAGTGTTTTGGGGCTAGGCGAACAACAACAAGTTGTCAATTCTGGGGATTGCTAGCATGGAAGTGCAGAGGCGCCTTTCAGACAACAAGTCTTCTTTTGGAAAGGGAGCTTGCCGACTCAAGTTGAGCTTCGGAGTTCATTGGAGGGAAAGCGGCACGGTGAGCAAATTCTAAGATGTTCGGCGGATTCCTATTTCAGCAGAGCTGGCACTTGAGAGAGTGTCTTTTGAATTGAGCCAGCATGTGAACAGGAGGAGCCAACAAGGATCCGATGCGCACACAACCTGAAGGGATCGCCCAAGATCGTGTTCCTTTGCTGTCGGTGTTGGAAAGCCAAGCAGTCCTTCCCACTTATGGAACTTATGGAGCCTGTTTGTTTTGTTCCTTGCCTGGGTGTCTGAAGGAGCCCCTTACTACTGACCCCTTAACGCACAAGCATTCCATGCTTGCCGAGTCGTTGATTCTGGGACCTTGAGAAGAGGCCTAACTGCTGTCACACCAAGGGTTCTCGCAACCCCGAAGCTGGGTACTCAACCGGATGGAAAGGGCTTTGGGCCTGACGAGTCGGCTTGCTTCGAGGTTTGTGGCCCTCATGGAGACCACCGGAGAGTTCAAGAAGTACACGAAGCGCTGTGAGGTCCGCGGCACTGAGCTCGTCCACAAGGCTGGCCTTCCAATCTCATGTGGTGGAGAAAAAACAAGGCACTTTCGCATCGTTCCCTGTGTGGAAGTCTGTGGGGCAAGTCAATGTTCCACATTTATTTCCCTTCAGGCTCTGTTGGGTTCGGGCAGATGCCCACTCAAACCCAGCCTGGCAAACTTGTTGTTGCCCTGGAGGATCCATAGGTTCCGTTGTCTTGAAGTGCCTGCTTACCCATTTTGCGAACCAATTTGGATGATATTTCGACAGACATATCATGCTAAGCCAGGTGCAAGCGGTCAGTCCCAAGTTTTGACACAGTTCCAACTTGCGGGCCGACCAATTTCGGGTTTCGGCGTGTTTGCACTAACTGAGACCTCCCTTTTGGAATGCTATGTTCTGCAAGTTTCAGAGATCCACCTCCGTCCACTTGCCTTACAGCACCTTTGGTGCTAATCAGACAATTAGACGTATTGAGCTCTTGGCATTTTCTCAGGAAGTTTCCCAAAGACCATGGGGTTTAGCCCAGGACAAAACGGTCTTCGCCTTCCACCCGCACGGCGCCATCAGCTTCGCTTTCACGGTGAACGGCATCTTCGACTCGGAGTTCCTCGAAAAGTCGGCGCCTTCGGGGGGGTTCTCCGTGCGGGGGGTCTGCTCACCAACGGAGGGAATCCCAACAAACCGGCCCAGTTGCTCAGGGGCAACCTGGGTTCCCAACAAACAATGGAATGGACCCATCCATTCTAGGAACGGTTCCAGTTCTTTTTCTACCAGGATCAGGGGCAACTGGGAGTCCTTCCGGCAAAGTCCAGATCTTCAGCCCGTAGCATGTAAGTTCTGCAAAGGTGGGCGACCCCATGCGACCCCGCAAAACTGCTGAACTTTTGGCTTATACTAACTATGTGCCGAAGCCAATGGGGCGCATTTCAAAAGGGTCCAACAAGTTTAAAAGTATTTGGAGGGCCCTCTTTTCTGGATCATCGAGACAACTTGGATTTGGCAATTGGTGGTCGCAAGAAATGAAACTTTAGCCTGCTTTTGCGTGCTGGCAAGGGACCCCCCACAGTTCTAGGGACGGCCTGCTTTGCATTGCATTGCAGAAGGGGTTGAATTCCACCATGATATTCAGGGGTACGCAGGTGAACGAGGGGGTTCAGGTGTACACTTGAACGCTACCTGCTGTTCCGTTTCTGAAGGCCGTCAAAGCTTTCTCCCGGCCGTTTCCTTTCGGCCTGTTCAGAGGCTCCCTTCCCACACACTTCCAAAAGAGAAGGAACCTGCAAAGCACACCCACCGACAACAAAAGAACATTCAAGGGACCGCTTGCTTGCAGGTCCCACGGTTGTTGGTGTCATTTGTTTCGAGGCGATATTACAAGGATTGGTATGATAGCCCCCATGCTCGACGAGTAACAGGCACGACAAATATTAATTATGACCTTGCAAGGAAACTTGGAACCCACTTTCAAAAAGACAGAGTGTGACAGGAACCTATGGGTTCATTTTTTGGACCGCTGCAAAGAAGCGGTCGGGAGAAAAAGTTACCCATCCCCTTGTTTGCACAGGGGTAAGCAGAGTGACTGCACCTCTCCCAGGGTTGCGGCGTGGTGTCTTGGATGCTCAGCCGATGAACTGGGAGAACCTGGGGGCTTAAATCCAAGTCCAGCCTTTGTTTGCGTATTTGTGGCAAGCGTTTGAGAACTTACTCGTGTGCTCAATGCCGCAAACGCGGGTGCTTGAGTTTCGAAGCGCACTTTATTGGATCCTAATCTACTAGTAGTCGGCCTCATCCAGCTTGGTTGCATCCTTTCAAACCCTGCAATGAACAAGGCAGTCGTGGACGCATCGACGTTGCCAATTTGCATCGACCGACCAATTCTAAGTCAACTGCTTTTGAAAGATACAAGCACTGGCCGTTGAGGCTGCGTTCTCCTGCATTCAACTTGGAACGGAAAGCATGTCGAAGTTTGATTGACTGCCAAACTGTACCTGGCGCAATGATTTGTTAGTCATTTGCCCAGATTCATGTTACCAAAGATCTCGCAGCTGTTCGGATCTCCGCAGACGAAGCTGTCCTTCCTGATTGACGACTTTCTCCGGAATGGCAACCCGGTCTTCCGGCTGCTCTGCGATGTGTGCCGTGGCAAGACGCTTGCGGGTCGCATTCCTGCTGTGCGGACATGTGCAATACCACGGTTTCTCCGAAACTCAACACAATTAGAAAGCCAAAACAGGTAGAACATTGGCATTGGTGGGTGCTTTCGCATTCGTTCTCTTGTTCTCTCAGTCTCTCTCATTGTGTTATTCCTTCTTTGGAGCAACCCTGAATACCGTTGCTTGCCCGCTTGCTGACCGCAAAGTGGCAGAAAGGATCTCAAAAGCCATGCCATGATTGGCAAACGTGTTTTTGCTTAGTGATACCTGGAGCGAATGGACAGTGCTTCTTCTTGTTTGGGCTTTGCGTCATTTCGGAGTGGTTTGTGGAGTGCTCAGGGCTAATGTTGCACTCATCCAAATGCAGCCTTGATGTTTAGCAGTCGCCCTATTTTTTGATCAAGTCTTCTGAAATAAAGACATTTAAGCCCACGCGCCAGGGATTGCGGATGGGTTTTGAAAGCAAATGCATGGGCCAACATACGGCAGATCAGCGCTTGACGCAGTGTGAGCTATCATCGGCATGCCTGTCAGCGGGCCCAACCCCAACTTTGACAATCTTTTACACAGAATTCAACCCCACGACTTAAACCGAATCTTAAATCACTTAATCAAAATGAAATTAATAGTAGCTGAAGCACCTGCCAACTGCGCGAGGTATCGGGCACCCCGTCGCCAGGCTGGGACGGATGCGAGAGGCTTTGGTTGTATTCGAGCTCTACTTCCCTCAGAAAGTTGTCAAAATCCAAGGGAATGGTTGTTTCTGAAAGGAACACCTGTGGAGTGAATGTTTGAATCTCAAATGGTGCAACTAACAAGGTATCAAACTTTGTTGGTCCATGACTGCAATGCTGAAGTGCTTACCACCCGCGGACTTTTAGCGGCCAACTTGTCCGCGCCATCTCTTGTAGCATCTTGGAGTACTAGTTGTATGGGTGTAGTAAGCTAATTATCATATTTTTGTCAGCCTATGTGTTTGGCCTAGGTGGGTAAAGTGGGTGGTCAATAGCTTCTAAGACTCTACACGGTGTCCCCCCCCTCCAGTGCAAGTATGGCCCAAAAAGCCAAAAAGGGGCTTAAGGGCTTAGCAGCCTCATTCAGCCTTGCAAGGCTTTCTCGCTGGGGTTGTTCCATGAAAATGCTTAGGAGTTTCCCCCACAGCGCGGAAAGCCCTCACTTGGGTTGCATGCGGGGGTCTGGCTGGATCCCTTTCCGAAGAGATCAGAACCCCAAGGACCTTTGTGTCTTTGGGATCCTTTGGTTGCTGCGCTGTACGGGAAAACGACCCAGCAGATTGAAGAAACGCCTTGGCACAGATCGTGAGCGCAGACAAGAACACCATCCGCCGCTTGATGACTGAAGGCAGCAACGTGCCCTGGTGGCGCCGGCGTGCAAAAGGGCCCAAATGATCGGAATGGGGTTGCATGTGTTTAACGGTTGTAAGCGAAGGATGTGTAATTGTAAACGCTTCGCGTTGCCCGCCTCGGCCCAGCCTAGTTTGAGGGAAGGGTCAGGAAGTGTTGGGAAGGTCCGAATCCTACTGAAAGCTTGTGACCGCACCAGTTCGCCCGTGCTAGTTCGATGTTCGGAAGCCGTCCTGCTCGGAAGGTTTGAAATCCAAAACCAAGACTATCTCAGCTGCTCAGTGCCCTTGGAAAAAAGGTCCTCTTTCTGGGGATGAGCATTTTTAGTGGGGCTTGGCCTCCATAAAAAGGGGAACACTAATTGGTGTCACTGAACAACCAAGACCAACTTCGGGTGTTTGGGCACCTCCATTTCACGTGGCTGGCGGCTTGCCATGACATACATTTCTTGCCCGGTTGCTCAGCCCAAGACAGGTACATGGTGGGAATACAACCCCCAATAGACACGCCAGCAGGCGGGCTGAGGGACTGGGCCTGAGGCTAGTCTCAGGCTGGCATACCTTGAGACGTCGAGGGGGCTGGGCCTGCTGGATGACTTGGGGCCAGACACGAGCAGGAGGTCAAGGCCTGGTCAGCCTGGGCTGAGCTGTTTGGGCAGCCGGACTGGGGGGCTAGGGCACGTCAAACAGGCTTGGTAGCTGGCGTAGCTTGAGACCAGTCTCGTGAGACTGGTCGTTGGCCTGAGGCCAGTCTCAGACACGTTAGACAAACCTGACCTTGGCACGCTCTGCTGAGCCTGCTGGGGAGCTGGGGGCCGGCCTAGTGGCTGGCATGCGCTGAGATGCTGCCGGGCAGCCGGACTACGCTGCTGGTTGCGCCTGGAACTTGGGCTGGGCGGGCTGGGCTGAGCTGTGCTTGGGCGGGTTGCTGGATGGGCAAGGCCTGTTTCATACACACTTGGGCCTGAGGCTGGGTAAGTTGCTGGCTGGGCTGGGTCTGAGGCCAGTCGCAGACACGTAAGACACGCCAGCGGGCGGGCTGAGGGACTGGGCCTGAGGCTAGTCTCAGGCTGGCATACTTTGAGACCAGTTTTAGACTGCGCCGAAGGGGCTGGGGCTGCCAGGGGGTGGGGGATGTCACACAGGCTTGAGATGGCTGGCATGCCTGAGATGCGCCGGGGCCTGGGCTGGGCAGGGTGGGTTGCTGGCTGCCGGGCAGCCGGACTACGGGCTGGGCTGGATGGGCAAGGCCTGTTTCATACACACTTGGGCCTGAGGCTGGGTGGCGAGTTGCTGGCTGGGCTGGGCCTGAGGCTAGTCGCAGACACGTAAGACACGCCAGCAGGCGGGCTGAGAGTCTCAGGCTGGCCGAAGTGGCTGGCCTGCTGGATGACTTGGGGCCAGACGCGAGCAGGAGGCCTGGGCTGAGCTGCTTAGCCGGACTGGGCTTAGTAGCTGGCGTAGCTTGAGACCAGTCTCAGACACGTGAGACCTGACCTTGGCACGCTGGGCTCTGTGGGCCTGGGCTGGGCTGGGCTTGCTGGATGCTTTGGGGCTCTAGGCCTGTTTCAGACAAGCTTGGGCCTGAGGCTGGGTGGGCTGGGCTGACAGGCCTGGCCAGCAGGCGGGTTGCTGGTTGGGCTGGCCCTGAGCCTAGTCTCAGACACGTCAGACAGGCCTGGCAAAAAAGCAATTTTTATAGATTTCGGACAAAAATGGACCCATGGAGCTGGACGCCGACGAACCCCGAAAATTTCAAGGCCCGTCGGACAGGATTTGGGGCCAGCCGACATGGGTGGGGGGGGGTGGGGGGCGGGGGCAGCCCGGCAAATTTTGGTTTTGGCCCCTTTGAAGCCGTTTAGCTCTGACAATTTGCTCAGGCGATCTGCATGAGTGGCACGCTGGCCGACTTTCGCCACGCATCATGAATCTGAGGAGTTTGTTCTAGAATAGATCAGGTTTCCACAAGGAGCGGGGTTCCCACGCACCTTTGATTGGCGTCCTTACATCTCACATGGGCATCCAGATGTCGTTTGACCTTCAGCTTACTGGTTGCAGTCATGGTGCCATAGCTTTTCTAGTCCTGATTCCAGCGACTAGGACATGTCAAAGGGCCCTTGTTACGGGATGTTAAAGGAACTGGTTGTCCTTTCGTGTTGCGTATATCCCACCCCTTAATGGTATAGAAGTGGGTGTGACTAGTTTCGGGCTGACTGCCATTAACAGCTAGAGGACCATTGCAAGGAAGCATATAGATTGCCATGAAAAGGGTAACTGTAGCAAAACCTTGGCAGCTTTTTGGTTGGTTCAGCATGTACCTTGCTTGGAACAATCCCACAAAACTGCGCTCGAGTAACCGCCTCAAAGTACCCAGGTCGTTTAATTTCATTGAGGCCTCTTCCAGTACTTCTGTGAACAGATGACGATTGCTTTTGTCCTTCTTCATGTCGGTACCAGGGGCCTTTTCTTTGCCCCCCCCCCCCCTCGCTTTCCGAAAAAGGCTCCATGGGCATGTTCTGGGCATGTTGCCAAACCCATATGATGCTCGTGTGTCCTGTGCAAACTTATTTTTGCCACTCGTTCAGTGACGCTCTTCTTCCGTTTTTGTTTATATTAGTGGTGTTCCGCACTTCAACTGCAATCGCCACCCCGTAGGGCCCATGTTTACTCTTGGGAGGCGATCTAGAAGCCTAAATTATTAGGTTGGGGCTGCGGGGAGTACTTTGCCGCCATGTTTAATCACGATCAATCGAAATTCATGCCGATATCAGACATCATGTCAGTGCTTGCGCCTTCTCCGCCTCAAACGTGCCGAAAGCGGCTCCAAATCTCACCGAGGTGGCACTGGTGCTTGGCGGATTTGAGGAAGCCACGGTGCCTTTGGCATCCGCTGTGTTGGTGCTGTCCTGCTTTGGTTTGGTTTCTGGTTCTGTTGGTTGCTTCTGTGTGCGAACCATCAGGCAGGGGTTGGCCAGATAAACTGTCAACATAACAATTTGGGAGCATGTTTGCAGGTCCCCATGTGTGCCCCGCAGTTCGTGGAGTTTCCTCTTTTCCTCTTGATGCTCCACCCAAAGAGGGAAGTTCACCACTACGACAGCCCAGCTGCCGATTTGTAATTGTGGTGAGCCCAGCATGGGGTAAGACGCGCATATCCGGCATGCGCATCAAAAAAAATTAGTTCAGGATCAAAAAAAATTAAATCAGGATCAAAAAAAATTTAAACCGTTTTACAAGCACACACACACGTAGGCCCCAGGGCCAACCGGGGGTGGCCAGTTAGCAAGTTAACAAGTTAGCAATCCTTCGGGGGGGGGGGAGGGCCAGTTAGCAAGTTAACAAGTTAGTAAAGTCGGAGGGGGGGAGGGGGGGTTAGCAAGTTAACAAGTTAGGGGGGAGGGCCAGTTAGCAAGTTAACAAGTTAGTGAAGTCGGTGGCGGGGGGGGGGGTTAGCAAGTTAACAAGTTAGCGAAGCAATGCTTCGGGGGGGAGGGCCAGTTAGCAAGTTAACAAGTTAACAAGTTAATGAAGTCGGGGGGGGGGGTTAGCAAGTTAACAAGTTAGCAATCCTTCGGGGGGGAGGGCCAGTTAGCAAGTTCAGAAGTTAGCAATCCTTCGGGGGGGGGGGGGCGAGGGTCTGTTAGCAAGTTAGCAAGTTAGCAATCCTGAGAGAGGGAAGGGCCAGTTAGCAAGTTAGCAAAGTCGGAGGGGAGGGGGCGAGGGGGGGCGGAAGTCAGCAAGTTGACAAGTCAGCACTCCTTCCGGGGGGAAGGCCAGGTAGCAAGTTAACAAGTTAGCAATCGGGGGGGAGGGCCAGTTAGCAAGTTAACAATCTAGCAGGGGGGGGGGAAGTTAACAAGTTAGCAATCGGGGGGAGGGCCAGTTAGCCACGGGGGAGGGCCAGTTAGCAAGTTAACAATCTAGCAGGGGGGGGGGGAAGTTAACAAGTTAGCAATCGGGGGGAGGGCCAGTTAGCCACTTAACAATCCAGCACAGTTTGGGGGGGGGGGGGTCGCGTTGAGATGAATCACGGAATCACGGAGTCCGATCAGCATGGCTGCGCGCACGCGTACATACCTACCTACCAACATACACACACACACATACTAGATACTACATACTACATACACATGCATGCATACATACGTACATACGTACATACATGCATATACACACATAAATGCACACGCAAACAGGCACACACACACATACATACATGCATGCATGCATGCACACACACACACATACATACATACATACATACATACATACATACATACATACATACATACACACACATACATACATACATACATACACACACACACTCATACATACAAACAAACAAACAAACATACACACATACATACATACATACATGCATACATACATACATACATACATACATACATACATACATACATACATACATACACACACACATTCAAACAAACAAACAAACAAACAAACAAACATACATACATTCATGCATGCGTACATGCATACATACATACACACAGGCGGTGTCGGCCTACCTACCAGCCTAGACCCTGTTGCAGGGTGGCTCGAAAGAAGTTGGTGCGAGCTGCTGCCAACACCCTAACTTCACGAGGGTGAGTGGAAGGTAGTGGATGGACAGCGCACCTTCTTTAGATTCACCGGGTGTGGTTGTGGCTTAGTACCTCTGTGAGTGATCACGACGGGCAGCGGCAATAGGGCCGCCTTGCATTTCGAGGATGTCACGCTGTGTTGCCCTTCTGCGGGCCAGCCTTTGACAATCGTTGTCCTTTGTTGGCGCAGGTGGTGGGGTGCAGCAGACCCTGCCACTACTACTACTACTACTACTACTACTACTACTGCTACTACTACTACTACTACAGAATTTAATTTTTTTTTGATCCTGAATTAATTTTTTTTTGATCCCTTAGCCCGCATATCCATCGAGATTCCATGGCGTTCCTTTCAGTTTTTGTTTGCCAAACATTGCCCATCCGATCCTCCCACAGACCTTGAGAATCTTTGGCACGTCGTGGGGTTTGCGGCGCGTTCAGTGAACCGGGTGAGGTGTGCGACACCGGCAAAGACCGTGTGGTGCTCAAGTCCAGGAAGGGCATCGTGAAGTACTGCCTGCAGCGCCTTCTCTCAGAGCAATGCGAATCGACGGGATCTGAACGTATTTTGGTATCGCTTCTTATCTCCATGTTTAGTGGCCCCCAATGGTGGTCACCTTTAGTTCCTGGGTCCCTGAAGCACAACTGAGAATTTCTTTTCAATAGGTTCTTTGAACCTGCCAGGGAGACTTGGCACCGCGATAGGTTGCTTTTTGTGGATCAGACGGACAGGTGCTGAAATATACTAAAGAGCAACTAGAGGAACCTCTGGGGGAACCATACAAAGAGCATCCCATGGTTACTAGAACCTCCACCCACTGCAAAGATGCATGACGAAACCTGGCCTTTGCTTGGGGGTTGCGCCTGGGCAGAGGGAGGGGTAAACATTACAATTCGCTTGCTTTTATGTTTGCAGTCTTTATTGGGAGGGACTAACTCAGGGACTACCCAGTGTTGGGAGGGGTTCTCGTACCGGAGGCAGGTGATCGGAAGCCATGGAACGTCAACATGGGCTGAAGGCCCTCACCCGAGCGGACATGGAAGTGGGCGAGGTCTGTGCGAGATCTCGCAGCGGTCTTGCCAAAGTTGAGTGAGTTTGGACTGCCCACTGGGAGAGAGAGCCTTACTGCGGAGGGGTCTGCAATTTATGTTCGAAATAATATGGTGATCCATCACCAGAGGATCGGCCTTAACATGGATCATCTCCGAAGCCCTCTGATGAGTGCTCCGGATGGATCTGAAGTCATTTGTTCGCTCGCAGAGAAACCAAAACACGAGGCATGGCTATCGGCTCCAGCCGGTGTACTCCTTTGGGGAGGATGAGACTTACACCTTCGCTCAAGGTTTGCGGGACTTTCGGCTCTGGCGACTCGTCCTGCCTGGCGTCGGCTCCCAAAACAACGTGTGACACCCACTTGTTAGGAACCTTTGGTGAGTTCCCCGCGAAAGCGGAGTCAGCTAGGGAAACACCGGGTGTGGACAACCGGGCTTTGGGTTGCCGGTCTCTGGATACGAAGAAATCCCTTTGAATGCGCAAAGTAGTCATGAATATGGACATGTCAGTCTGATAACCTCACTTCCTGAGTTCCTGGACTTTAAGCTTCTTGGGGGGACCATTTTAGTGTTCGACTTTTTTTGACCAGTCCACTCAGGAAGTGAGGGCGGAAAGGGTGTTTTTACAGAACCATGAATGAACTTCTGAATTCTGGGTGCTAAATTTCCCATACTCAAAGGACACCAAACGGGGATGAATCATGCTACTTATTTCGGACCTGCAGGATGGCACTAGGGAGCAACAGCGAGAGAGAGAGAGAGAGAATGTTTGATATATCTATATTTCATCCCCTCTAAACATCACCCCTGCAAAAGGAACCCTCTTTAAGTTCGACCCAAAGGGGAAGCATGGGGAGCCCTTCTCCCGCTCCAATGAGCGCGAGCTCGATGCGAGGTTGAACAGCTTCAAGGTCCCGGCGGCGCCTTGGACACGTGGTGCTACTTAATTCTCCGGTCTCCTCCATTTTTCGTTTGTTGGGTCTGTTGGGTGGGCGGGGTGGGTGGGTGGGGTGGGTGGATAGTCAAGGTGAAGCAGAATCTGGCAGTCAGCGCTTTTGCATCGCACTGGGAGTCGGGCGGCTCTGTGTGGACGTCCCGTCTATCTTGGCCTTCTAAAGTGATGGGTGGAATATGTTTAAATCCAGGTTTCGGGTTGACCTTGACCTAAATTCCAGCTTTTGATTGTGATGCTCAGGTGGCCTTTTTTGGGAATCCAGTGGCGCCTTGGCTGCCCAAGCGCCAGGCGCGGTACCCGCACGGTTTGGGCCAGTTAGAATATCACCTTTACCAGCTGATTTGGGAGATGCGTTTGTGAAACACAGTGGCTTGTTGGATGTATCCTTTGAGGAAATGCGATTTCAAGTGCAGATTAATATGGAGCCCAACACTTGTTGGGTTCGGCACAAGGAGAATCCTCTAGACATGGGTTCCATGTTAGACTGCAGGAGTGCAATTCTAGCCACTTCTCACCTACTGAAGAAGAGACTGTCCTTTTTGCCCGTGACCATCTTTCCCCACCCGACAGGTCTGGGTTTTTAGACTTCAAGTGACATCCGAACTCCGCGCCTGGATCGCCCGCCCGCTGACAGAGCCTGTGACAGACAGAGTGACAAGTAGCTGTGGCGCAAGCTGTCAGGGCTTGTCACAGACCACAGACAGCTGGCAGAGCCAGAGCTGCAATGTTCTGACGGACACAGGGACAGCTGCGACCGCCCGAAGTTCAGCAGACAAACGCGTGGTAGGTATGTCTTAAGCGGTGATTGTTCGCTTGGCTCGGGGGAGGGTGGATGAATGGGAAGAGCCCCTCAACATGTTTCAGGGTGCAAGGACATCATGGAGGAGCAGGCTTGAAATCATGGAGCCCTTAAGCAAAGTGGCAAACCTGTGGCGATGACCCTACAGATCTTTGTCCGAAAGGTGGGGAAGAATTGACAAATTTATGCTCAACAGCGCCTAGGTCCAATCATGTCGTTTTTTGGCCAATGGATCAGCTTTCTTGGCGCGGTGCTGGACATTCCTAAGGGGCCTTGAGGGTTACGTGGCGCAAGCTGACTTGTGCAAAACTGAAGTTGTGAACCTGGCAGTTGTGATGATTTGGGAACATACGGGCCTGCGCGCGTAACTGTGGCTGGTTTCAGCGGAATTCAAATGAGCGACCGGTTCGCTAGCCGGGTTTCCGTCGCAAGGCAAAGATCCTCACGGTCATCGGGGAGGCCGTGCAGCGTCGAGCCCAGAAAGCGCATTGAGCTGAAGTGCAGTGGCTGGACCGTCGCCTTTGAACCCAAGGGTTGTCCCAGACCTGTTTGTGCCTGTTGCGTTACCCCCGTCGGAAGTGATCTCCATTTAAAGTCAACCAACAAACAATCGCCCCTGTATCCCCTGTTTTCCCACGGAGGATACTGGAGGTCACAGGTTGTTTGTACAAGGAAAGCTTGATCCTTTGCACTTTAAGCGGGCAGCCCCGCAAATCATCCGGCCGCGTTCATTGGGAAACACCGCAATTGCAAGGATTATGCATCCAGAGCACACTTGAAGACCCCACTCAGCATGGAACATTTGAAAATGCCAGGCCAGTTTCCTCCAGAGACAGAGGCCCTCCAAGTTCCAAGTTGGGACAGCAACAACAGTCAACCTCACCTGCGGCGATTTGGTGTGCGAGGTGCCCTCATATCCCAGAGCCCTCGCCTGAAGAGGCCCGGAAGGGATCCTTCGGCTTGTGCAGTTGTTTGCATTGCATTGCATTGCCAGACCTGGCTGACTTGTCTCTTTACATTTGCCTTTTGTGGGTTTTCCCCTCAACCAGCAAACGTTCAGCTTTTTGCTGGGGGGTTGTCTGGGCTCAGCTATTCCGGGAATCTTCTGTGTTGGCATGGCCAGGTGAACAAGTGGCAGCAGGAGTACGCCAAAGCCCTGACGGCCACCTTCAACAAGTGGTGCCCCGGCAGTTCTGTACCGTTGGAACCGTATCCTGTTCGGCAGTTCAGATGGCACATGAGCACGGAGCCTTGCAGCAAAAGGAGACTCACAGCTGGTTTGGAGCAGCACAAGACGGGTTCATAGGGAAAGACACCCAACTGAGCGCCCTGTTTGCCGACAGGAAGAAGGAGGCTGGGCGAGCGGAGGCTGAGCTGGAGATCTTCTGACGGAAGATATGGCTCTGAATGTTGGCTTTGAAAGTGCTTTGATTTGTTTAAAGTCCAGGGGAGTAGATGGGGGGTGGGGTCCCTCCATTTCTCCTTTTCTGGAGACCCCAAAGTGGCCGAATTGAAGCCCTCTCCCGGAAGTCAGGCTTGCTGACTCCGGACGTTCCAAAAAAAGAGCGCAGGGGTGCTCCGAGTCTTGAAATCCGATGACTAAAGCCTGTGCTTCAACCCGACTCCCGGCTGACCGGGCGGTGACTCGCGACTTGGAGCACCACTTGACTAAGCCAACGCGAACCGTCGGACACTCGATGGATGCCATGGGGCCCTCACATAGCCTGAGTTCCTGCTTGGGAAGACCTGATTTGGGTGGCAAGGAACAGGTATGTTTTGTTGGGCCAGTCAACTCAGATTAATGTGATCTTCGGCTTGGTTCGGGTGCCCGACTTAGAGCAACCCCGAATATAGATCATTTGCTTAGCCTCAGGATTAATGCAATGTTAGCACTATACCCACGTGTCCCTGAAAGGCTCTGATTGCCACAGTATAACTCATAGACCACCAGACATGGCACTGGTTGGAGTCTTCCAGGCGCCATGCCGATGGAGGTCCCCTAAGTTCGAGACACCAGGTTCTACATGTTTTTGTTGATGAAATGGAGGCCTTCAAATCTTTCGACAAGTCCTTCGAAACAACGTTTGGTGGGTTTCAAGCACCGCTCACTTGGCAAGGGCCCGACAATTGCCCAGGATGGCTTTTCGAATCCTCCAAGATCCCGACAAGGAATGCACACATTGTCTGAACGTTGGTATACGTTGCGCCACGTATTTTTGCTTACTATTTCTTCCAATGTTATCTTACGCCATCTTATTTCATTTCACTTTTCGCAACTATTTTTGAACATCACCAGTGCCAATTTTGGAGTTTAAGGGGAGGTATCAGGAACCCTGTCATTTCCAGAGCCAAGCCGAGCTTCGGTAGTTGCTTTTCCAGTCTCAAAACGGAGTGTTCGACGGCGTTCCGATGGCGTTCGGCACCCAATTCAGATCATAGCATCAGGAGTGGCAAAAAGAAGGGGCACCGCACTTGCCGCCGTCCAGGCCATCGTCCATAGACGCCGTTCCCCTTGTCTCAGGCCACGTTTGGCCAAAGGCTTCTCTCAGTTCAGCAGCCCATGGCTCTGAGTCCCAGCTGCTAAGGTCTAGTGGGACGAACCTCGGTGCAATGTGATGAGAAGGATAAGGATGAAGGTAATGATGCGGATATGATTCCTGTTCCGATCACGATAGCCCTGGGCAGTGTGATGAGTATGCTCATTTGGGCGATTCTGATATTGAGGGGTCTTGATCTTGCCGTGTTGCCCTCATCCTGATGCAACCCAGGAAGATTACAAGTCGCCCTAAATTGCGCATAGTCTTGAGTTCCCCCAAGGGGACACCAACAGGGGCTGGATATTGTTACTGATCTGCCCAGACCTCTTTCATTTTGCATGGTTGCTAACAAGCTTCTTATTTTGCTTATCTATCTTATCGCTATTCCCTATATCTCCATCGAGTGGGTTGGGGCCAAGTGCGTTCAAATTGCCCGCAGGTGTGATCGCCTGATACGGCCCCGAAGCGAGGACCGATGCTACCGGCCTGGTGAAAACATTGTTCAGCCCCAGGTAGCTGGGATCTCGACTAAATAATAAGGTTCCACAAGGCGGTGCGCCTCTTTTAAAATGTGTCATCTACTTTCACCCAACTGTGCCTTGTTGGGGTACCTGAAGATGAATTCCTCTTCATTTTTTCGAAGTGTATCCAGCCAAATGGGTGTCGAATGTGTCTGGGGAGGGGGGTATCAACGACCCCGGCCCTTCCGGAGAAGTTCTGGAGAAGTTCCTAGGTGGTGTTCTTGGGAAGGAATGTTGGATGAATCGGGAATCTTGGGCTCATTTTTGTGTTCTCCCTGGTCACCTGGCGCATGGGTCAACGTTTGGTACTCTGCCCTTGGCTCAATGGTGAACTGATGCACAAAGGAAGCGCAGAGAGCACTCGCTCGTCGCGGCAGGAGGGTTCCTCGCGCAGCCGGCAGGCACAAGGGCATCGATTTCCGGGCAGTTTCAATCGGTTTTGATGTTTGCCTTATGGCGAGCTGACCGATTCGGGCGTAAAGCGTGGCTAGTAGGTCCTTTATTGAGGATCCGTTTCGTATCTCGGGTGGTGGAGTTGTTGTAGAATGTGCAGTTTGGTTGGACCATGTTGGACCCGTTGTTTGGCAGCAAATTTGCGAACTATTCAATTGTCACCAACCATGTTTGAGCCCGTTGTCAATGGCCCGAATGTCCGCAATTAGATGCTTGATGGCTCGCTTAAGCACATTGGCTGAACAGATGGTACTCAAACCACTCAACGAGAGGAAATATAACCAGGAACGAACCTCAAAGCAATAACAAGCGTAGATCACTTGCATTGAGCCTCAAAGGCTAGAACAATCTCTAGCCTTCTGGGCTTTTCCGGTTGCCTCCACTTGCTTGGCAGGTGAGGGCTGTTTTGGAAGCAGAGGCCGGGGGATTGCTGCCAGTCAGGATGGGGTCGTAAGAGCAATTGCGCACAATCCCCACCCCCTTCAAAATGGAATTGGGGAGGGGGGTGACCCCTGGAATTCCATGTAGGGTTCCATTTTCGCTTTTGTGGGGAAGACTGAATAGATGGAATTGTGGGACCCCCCACACCCCTCCCCGTTAAGGTAGGGGGGTTCCCGCACAAAGACGCCTGACTTGAGCATTGAGATGAGTGGTCTTTGGTACGGTTGGAAGGGTCCTCAATGAAAGGGAAGTTGTGAAGATTTGCGCAGGTTCAAGCAACGTCACCTGTAGGTCTCTCATTCGTTACCGAGATGGACTCGAAATACTGCAAGAGATGGGTTTGTCTAAAAGTTGGTTGGGCTTGCCCCCAATAGAAAATGAGCGGGTTCTTGTGGTTTCGCTTGTTGCACCCAAGCAGGGCGCCCGATGCGGAAAACAAGGGCACCCATCTCAAGGCGATTCTGGAGATCAGCATGGGAATTGAATGCCCCAGCATGACTTGAAACCGTCTTGAGGATGAGACTCCCACGCTATCACAGGCTTTCCAATAACCGTGTATAGGCTCAATGTTAGTTTACCAGAGTTCAGAGTTGTTGTTGCTGAACTTGGTGATAGCGCAATACAATCCTCGCGGCGATCAACCCCGATCTTGAGTAAGGAGATGTCGATCGGGTCCGACTGCCCGTGTCCATTTTCTGTCCCTATTTATTCAACTGACTCGTCCACTTTTTGTCTTTTCCGAAAAGCAAGAAACAAAAGGACCTGTTAGGGAATCCATGGGCCTTTTTGGTTGGGTTTAATCTCAACCTTGGGCTGTCACTCTGGAACCCGCCCGTCAGGGCCCATGTTTGTTGGAGGGTGATCAGCTTCTTTGGGATGTCGCTTGGCAGATTCCATAGTGGCAAGGCCTTTGCCCCTAACCTATTGGACTGGGAGAAGCAGCGAAAGCTCTTTCGGAGTGATTGCGCAGTACAAATGTGGAATTGAAGTACTGGCTGCTGCGATCCTATACAACTCCGAAAGAAATGAACATCACAGAAATGAATGTGTTCATGGAATCGCTGTTTCGCTCAGCTGGAAGGGAAGCCTTTGTGTGCTATCCCGGCTTCGGGTTTGAAGAGTCAGAACACCATGGTGACACTTCAAGCTATCTGGAACCCACCTCAGAGTCATTGTTTTTTATGATTATTGGTACATGTATAGTACAATAAATGATTTAGTAGTACCTTCATCCTGAAATCCTTGGTAACGCGTGCGACTCAGATGCTGAACGAAGACTTCGACTGGGCGCGCCCGGCCACGGACATCCTCGCCTCTCGGGAGGCCACAGTCTGCAGCTTTCGGCCGGACGTTCCATGGGTAACTCGGCGGTTTGGATTAAAATTGGATCCCCTTTTTGGTTTGGGGGTGAAGGGAACCAAAGGACACGGCCTCTGTTTTGTTTTGGGGGGGGTTGTGGGTTTGAACCCCCGGTTCTTGTGCCCCCCCCTCCAAACCACCACTCCAAACCAACTACAGGGAAGCTGACGAGTGAGGCATTTTGCTTACATTGGATCAAGAAACCAGCCCTGGTCACTGAGAGACATTATGCACTTCCTTTTTCCCAGGTTTCCCTCTATAAAGCCAACCGCGCCTACTTGGGGAGCCAGATGGGTGCCTATGAAGGGAAATCAGGAGATGGAGCTTGTGTTAAAATGTTTCAAGTCCGTAAGTGCTCGGACCAACTTTTGGGCATGTCGTTCTTCGAAAGTGCCTTGTTGGAGTCAATTTTAAGCGGACACCAAGGAAGCGCACAATATTTGAGGGCATTTCCAGTTTGGGAGACAAACCGACCTGAGATATCTTAGATCTCCACCATAGTTTCTCTCCTTGGGGCGCTTGCCGCCAACCCCGGCGCTTTGAGCGCTGGCGTTTTGTTTTGGGGAGTATTACCTTCAATGGCAAGTCCTAACAGGCCTCGAAGTTTTGCTCAGACATCCAACGAAGACCTCCAAGCTGAAGCAAGACACTGGCCTCGAGTTTAAAGGATATTTACTCTGTAAGTGATAGTCATAGTGGCTAGCAACCCTGGACATTCCAAAGGAAGACTGGTTGGATACACCAAATGGGGGGGGACAACCTCCAGAAATACCTTAAGCTCGGTTGTTTACGTCCCTTGTTGCAAGGTGTCCTGCGGGTCCTTTTGAATCAGTGAGACCTGCAAGTTATCCTGACGTCATGGACCTTCGAGGGTGAAAGGGGGGGCTTATCCTCATACGCGTTGGAGGTGCCGCCTGTTTGGACTTGCGTTTTCGCCAGGGCCGGTTCACCGTGGAGGACCTTTGCACCGTGGCCCTGCCGATTTGTGAGTCGAGATCCAGTAGGATGCTTTCTCAAATGCTTTGTTTCTGTGCTCCTTTTGGTGCTACCCTTTTTGCATGCCAACCTCAAGGGGGTCCAAAGCTCCGAAATGGGTGTGTGGTTTTTGGGGGTGGCACCTCTTCAAGATGTTTTTGAAGAGAACCAAAGTTGACATATAGCCCAATTGTGTTTTTCCCGTGCTGGTCCATGTGTCGGGTCGAAGTGGTTCATCTATTTCTCAGTTCTTTGGGGCATACGGCTCCAACAGAGGGCGGACAAGAGCCAGACAAGTCAGCCCCGCACA